CAGAAGACCCTGTCAAACCGATTGTAAGCACTGCAGTAAAACGGAACAACGTAAAATTACTGTCATGATAAGGAGTTTTAAGCTTGGAACCGATGAACAGTGGACGACGACAACAATTGAGGAACGACCAAATGGAAGATCCAGACATCGGAGCAATACTACGGCTCAAGGAAGCTGTAACGGCGAGAGACCACCGTGGCAGGATATTGCAAACAGGGCTCGTTTCAAAGCTCTCTGGGCTCAGTGGAATTCACACAGTTATTGAGAATGGATTGTTAAAGCGCACGTGGAAAGTGCGGATGGCAGGGACAGTAACAACTCAGTTACTGTGGTACCAAGAAAGAAAGTTACCCAGGTATTGGAAGAAATCAAGCGGTGGTAAAACTGGAGCCCATCTTGGAGTAAACAAGACCTTGAGCAAGCTGAGAGATCGTTTTTTACTGGAGTGGACTATTGCGAAGATGTCAAGAAATGGTGTCGACAATGTAAAACTTGTGCAGCCAGCCAAAGGACCAAGCACTCGCTCTAGGGGAAAAATGAAACAATATAACGTTGGACTGCCATTCGAAAGAATCGCTGTTGACATTGCAGGCACATTCCCTGAAACGCACAAGGGCAACAAGTACGTTTTAGTGGCGATGGATTATTTCAGTAAATGGCCAGAAGTTTTTGCCATTCCAAAACCAAGAAGCATCGACTGTAGCTGAAGTATTAGTCAATAATGTCTTCAGTAGATTTGGAATTCCTTTTAGAGCTTCACACTGACCAAAGAAGGAACTTCGAGTCAAGACTGTTCCAGAAGATGTGTGATCTGCTTGAGTATTCACAAGACTAGGGACAACAGCTTTACATCCGCAGTCTGAAAGATTCAATAAGACCATTGAAGAACACCTCTCTCTCTCGAAAATGGTGGCCGAACAAAGAGATTGGGATCAACACATACCGCTGTTCCTTAATGGCGTATAGAAGCGCAGTTCACAACACCACCGGACTTTCACCATCGAAGATTTTATTTCGGTCGAGAATTACGGTTGCCTTGTGACTTGGTGTTCGGATCACCAGACGACGGGCAACGCCAAATGTAGAGGACTACGCGATGAACTGAAGCGAAAGGTTATTGGGAATTCAAGGCCGAGAAGTAAGATTACGCTAGCCAGTGACCGGATGAAAGCTTCGTTACGACCTCAGAGCTAATTCTACGGGATTTCAACAGGACGATAGGTAGCGGTTATATAACCCACAGCGCAAGAAAGGAAGGTCCCCAAAGTTAACTCAGCATGGGAAGGTCCTTATAAGTCATCAAGAGGATAAATGATGAAAATGGATTCAGCGCAGCCCTAGAAGTAAGATGAAAGTAGTTCATCTGGATCGATTGAAGAGATACCTGACAGGAAACCTTGATCGGGACGATCAAATTTGAGAAGGGGGCAATGTCATGTCAAGGGCTAGAATGTATTACTGGTTGCCATGCACAACCGCAATGTGTCAAAGAAAAATGGCGTATCCGCCAGAAAATTAAAAATGTATTACTGGTTGCGTGCACCAACCGCAACGCCAGAAATTAAAAAGACTTTTTTTCAGACGCCATCTTTTTAGTCAAGTCGAGAAGTAAGGAATCAGACAATGGAATTGTCTGGTATGAAGAAGTTACGCTTTCCGAGAATTGGGAAATTTCGAGAAGAAGATCAATAGAGTATATAAGCCGGAGCCATCGACAACTGAGAGAGTTTTTGAAATTTGAATATACCGCGTGGAAATTGAAAATCGGACAATTTGGTGAAGGAATCTTATAAATAGTTAGTTTGTTGTGTGTTATAAGTTAGTAATTGTGTATAAAGTGAGAAAATAAATTCGTTAAGTATTTTATCGTGAGTTTAAATAGTGGACCCACGGAATCCGTAACAATATATTTCCTTCGGCCACACACCCGTCCTACCCGACCCCTGAGGGCGACCCGAACAGTACCTTTTTTAGAGACCTTTTTTGGAGAGCGTTCAATTCTGTACAAGAATGTGTGATTGTCATGGCTACGAGAGAACAAGATCGAGAGAAAAATAATTATTTGCGAAAAGTGGCAAATTGCTATGTAATTTAATTGGGAAATAAATCGTCTTTGGGGCAAGGTTTATTGTGAATATTAAGGGTTTACAATGGTCTGTTATTTTATTTAGACAGTAAACTAAAAATTTAGAGGGCGTCGTGAGAGAAATGATCAACTTTTTAAACAACGGACACGCTAGTGCTTATATGTAAAATTATTAAGTAGCAGATAATAAATTCGACCATAATAACATAATGAGTTAATTTTAAACGAATTTTTTAATTTATTGGTTTAATACTCATGTTACTATGACTACTAGTTAAAAGGTTCTTCATATTTTTAGTCTGCGAATGAACCCACGCTATAAAACAAACCATTTTTGAATTATCCTTCTAATATTCACAGTAATCTCACTGTAATTTAAGTTCTGACAAAATACCTTCATATTATATTATATATACAGGGTGTCCCAATATTCCGTGGACATAGAACTGCTAGGTATTTTTGGAATCAAAATAAGTTCATTTGACACAATTTATCTCTATACAAAAGTGCTTCGTTTGTCCGTTAGAGGGTCTCAAATTTTAAAAAAATACATTTTTTCAGATATTTTAAGAACCGATATTCCGATTTGAATGAGATTTTGGGTGTCTATGTTTTGATAAGTGCTCTAACATTTTACTTTCACAAAAATCAAGAACAAGTACGGGAAGGGTGAAAACTAACCCCACCCCTACATAAAATTTAGTATAAATATTTTCCAACACCGACGGCTTATTTTCTTTTCATAAAATGGTCCCTCTAGTATTTACTACATTTTTGTCTTATGTAAAAAACGCCACCATGCATACTTTTCGAGGAAAAAATTATTTTCCCAAAGCTGATTTCCAAAAAATATTTTTTTCTATGGAGGCGCATAAAATATATTATGCTCTAATAATCTAGTTGGTGAATATATGGAATTTTATGTTAGTATCGCAAATTAAGGTGCCCGGTGGCGTAGAGGTACAGGCTCTCGTCTACCAATCTGAAGGTAGTGGGTTCGAATCCCACACTCCGCATTTCATCAGCCGATTATTTTTATTAAAATAAAAATAGTTTGGGTACCTAGGTCAACTCAGCCTTAAATGAGTACTTGGGATTCACAATCCTGGTAATAATAGGCGGTTGAAGCGTAGTGCTAGCCACATTACCTTCCTTGTATACCGAACGGCTCTAGTATGGCAAGCTGTACCTTTTTAAGGCGTTAAACGCTATATACGGGAGCTATTTTTATTATTATTATCGCAAATTATATTTAGCAATAAGCTTCAAAAAAGCTTATAAAAATAATATTTTTTAAATTAATTAACGTTGGGGTTTATTTTGATTGATGTCCTCTAACGGACAAACGAAACACTTTTGTATAAAGATAAATGATGTGCAATTAACTTATTTTGATTCAAAAAATACGTAGTTGTTCTATGTCTACGGAATATTGGAACTCCTTGTAGGTCTGCTTTGGAAAAATAAATTCTCCAAAAAATTTTTTCACAAAAATTATGCGACGTAGCGTTTTTTTTTACAAGGGGCAAAAATTGTAGTAAATACTAGAGCCTACTACACGTTTATGATTCAGCTATGGAAGACAGTAACTCAGATGAAGAATTAGATAAATAATACAAAAATAATAATTTGTGTATTTATGAACTGTTCTAAATTAGGTTATTTCTTTATTAGTTTTTCGATGAATTTTTCGATAGAAATTTCTCGTTTAGTACCCCAACCTATAAATCTTATAACATGGGATATATGTAAATTCCCTAAATCTACTGATTTTTATATATTTGACAACGTCGCGTTTGGAGTGTTTTACCCTCCATTTTCCTTTTACTACCCTTAAAAACTATTTAGAAGACCTACATCACCCGAACCTTTACATTAAGGTTTTTTTCAACAGCCTCTGGTAAATTTACAAGACCTACCAACACAAAATATATTTTATTATTCAGAGTAGTTCGAACTGTATTCCGGAAATTTCGGCAGCATGTTCATAAATGTATGTCCTAAAATACTTTATTTCGGAGATTTTACAGGGTGTTGGAGTTTCATCTATATTTCGAATTTTTTCCAAATAATTTCTGAAGTAACGTCAATATTTGGATGAAAATTTGTGTCTGGGAGTTTTTTGACATGAGAAATTTGATTTTGATTGATTTTATTATATTATATTATATATTATATATTTATTTATGATTAATTTTAAAAAAATAAAAGTTTCCAAATTTATCATTTCAGTAAAATAACTACATATCTGCTCAACATGTTTATTTTTTGTCAATAATGACATGTATTGATTATTTCCATTCTAAATATCTTGAGAACGGTTACTAGTAGCGATTTTCACAGAGGAATTTTTTACGTAAAAAATCACTGAAATGTACATTTTTTTACTCAGTAGTTTTATACGGGTACGGAAGAAAAGTTATTACTCTTCAAAACATTTAAAACACATGTAGGTGGCGCCCCCGAGTCATATTGACGTCAAAATCAAATTTCTCATGTCAAAAAACTCCCAGACACAAATTTTCCTCCAAATATTGACGTTACTTCAGTAATTGTTTGGAAAAAATCGAAATAAAAATGAAGCTTCTACACCCTGTATCTCCGAAACTAAACATTTAGGACATACTATACATTTTTTACTTAATTTTATCTGCAAAATATGCTGCCGAAATTTCCGGAATACAATTTGAACCACCCCGTATATAACCTTCAAATTAATTAAGTTCAATACTTCTTCGGCTCATGGATCGATGCTGATGGAAAACATGCCATAGAGCAAAAATTGGCGTAGTATCCCACTAGCTATACTACTTTCGATTTCTGCCAACTTTGGCTTACTTCGCGGGTAATGTAGAGGCCGTTTAAGAAAACTTTTTAATGTTATAAATTATGAGCAATTATACATTTGTTACAGACTGAGTCCAAGTACACCCGATACTTTTTCACAATCCCGTAGCGGAACTCCAAGTTCAGCAACTCACTCCGACACATCTCCGGCTCTAGATTACCCACTGGTTGGTGCTATGACAGGGAGGAACTATAGTGATTTTATGAGGTGCCTTGCTGCAAAATACAACCATACTAATCCCAACGAGTAAGTAATCTTATTGGCACAATTACAATAATGTAACAAGCAATATAATATACAGGGTCCGGCAATAGTGCGCCGGGCATCTACCTATAGCTCCTAGAATAAAAAATTGGGAATTTTCTTTAAGTGCAAATTTAAAGCATGTACTAGTACTAGGATGTATTTCAGGAAAATATTTTGACTTCTGTAGAGTGGCTCAAAAAAGTGTGAGTGTATCGGGATGATTTTTTTTAAATTGAACCACTGTATACTATTGCATTTTTGGCTTTATTTTCGATCACTTTACATAATCCTAAGATACGAGTAAATATATTTCGGTAGTTTCAGAGATATTATTAAATAAATAAATATTTATATTTTTCAGTCTTAAACAAATTATTTGAACTGTCCTGAAATCAAAACAATATTAGGTATTTACTTTAGATGGTCTGTACTTAACTTCGCTGTAAATATGATAATTGTAAATCATACAGGATGTTTAAAATTCTACGCCAAACTTTCTAAAATGTAAAATAATTTTGCTTCGTTTTTTTTAAATGGAACACCCTGTATATTATTTTTTCAACACAAGGAGAATTAAATAATGAACATTTTTTGTATTTAGAGTATTTCAAAATTTTTAACGGTTTTGCAGATATTCGCGGTTTTATATTTCATATGGTATTTTCCACAGTAAATTTTTATGAAAGCCACCCAGTGATTTTTGTCTCGTATTTTGCCGTTGAAAGAGCCATATGAAATAATACTGCGTGTATCTGCGAAACCATTAAAAATTTTGAAATACTTTAAATACAAAAAATTATAATTTTTTAGCTCTCAATAAAAAAATAATCTACAGGGTGTTCTATTTAAAAAAAGAACAAAGAAAAAATATTTTATACATTAGAAAGTTTGGCGTAAAATTTTGAACAACCTGTATGATTTAAGATTACGATATTTATAGTAATGTAAGTACAGACCATCTAAAGTAGAATTAGAATTAGAATAAGTGGGAGGGGGGTTAATCTCTGCAACCTCAGAGATCTATTGTGTCCCCCTTTCTTGAGTTATAACTCATCATACAGTCCCAGGACTTCCTACGGAGACCCGTGTCCCTCACAGTCGAGGAGCTACGAGCCAGGCCGGGTAGACGAAACGGTAGCTTGTGTCGCCTGTTGGGTTTAGAGGTAGGAGGTAGGCTCCCGACCCTTGGAGGAGGTGGTAGCTTGTATGCCACTTGCGGAGGATGGTCTCACGCAAGTGTCAGCCACCTCTCCTGTAGTTCTCTTTGGGTTTGGCCCCTTGGAACTTTCATTGTTACTGTTCCCAGTGTCGCTAGGGGGTTTCCTCACAGCTTCACCGGTGATGTTTTTATTACTATTATTACCAGATCTCATAGTGTTCCTATGACTCGCTAGGGACAGTCGGTCCACTTCTACAGAGCCCCGCATGTAGAAGTAAGGGGTAAAATACAATGGGGTGCCCCCCGGTGCCCCAACCATCTAAAGTAAATAACTAATATAGTTTAGATATCAGGACAGTTCTTGTATTTGTAATAATTTTTTTTAAAGAATGTTGAAAATTATATAATTTTTTTTATTAATTATTATGTATCTCTGAAACTATCGAAATATGTTTACTCATATTTTAGGATGGTGAACAGAGGTGAACAGCTGCAGGAGGTGAACACCGAGAGGTGAACAGCTGCAGGAGGTAGGTGTACATTCGAAAGGAAGTACGCAGGAATTCCTAGGAAGTACCAGGAAGTATATAGGATTTCCTAAGAAGTATGTGGATTTCCCAGGAGGTATACAGGATTTCCCAGGAAGTATACAGGATTTCCCAGGATTTATGATGGAATTCCAGGAGGTATGGAGGAGATCTAGGATGAGATAGCTCGAAGAAATACACATTAAATCACGAATATTGACCTCGTTTAAATTAAAATCACACAATAGGCTCAGTGCATAACAAATAAATTTGAATTAAAACACTTAAAGCTTCATTCAGAACCTCGCAATTAGTGGAATAAATTAGTGGTTTCAATTACACTTTATACTTTTTAGTTTACGATCATTCACAATGTTTAAAAACACAATTAAAATTAATAGAATATCCTAGCAACAGCTTTCGTTAGTCAGTTGTATCCATAGAGAAAGCCTAATATTTAGCTTTTCTATAGTCTATAAAATGAATAACTTTGAATTTTGACCGTTATTTTTTACCAACATGGCAAATACCAAATCCCTCTGTCCAAACAGTTACTGATATTCTTTAAAATGAGTGCCTGAACGAATCAGATAGGTAACTCTTTTTACTTTCATGAAATAGAAAAGGAAAATAATAAAACAAGTGACAGTTCTTCCTCTTCTTGCAAAAATTGACGCGAAATGTCATAATTGACAAAACTAAAATGTCATCAGCTTTTGACATTTCTAAATATCAGCCCAATGCCGTCTCTAATAGAACAGTCTCGGAGCGAGATTTATGACGTCACGCTAGTTAGATACCACGGATTAATAAATATGTTGTAGAATCCATGGAAAACATAATTATTCCTCGTATTTTTGGTTTGTATTTTAAAAATGATATAGTTTACATGAAATATACATAATATACAGTTAATAAATACAATATATATATATACCTATTTATAGTAATAAATACTTTGGCAAATAAACTATGAACCATACAAATGCAGTAAATGTTTTACAATATACAAATAATGAATAGGTACATAAGATAATGGGTAAAATGTAAAATATATTTTAAATTTTGGGATTTGAAAATCGATCCAATTTAACAAAAAACATTCAATATCTACTAATAGTGATATATTATTATTTGCATTCACAAAATTTATATGTATATTTTGAAAGCATCAATGTTTGAAAAATTTATATTTGCAAATAATACAATATCATGAAAAAGGCGTCAGCGATGGCTATGAAATAAAGATCGCTGTCATTTTATATGTAAAATTATTCTAAAATTTTTGATTTTCTTGGGATTTAGGTTCGGGAAAAACGCTGATTAAGTTTTCATAATTTTTTTTGGTTTAAAAAAAAACGTTATAGCTAACGTTTATAGCCTTCATCAGTGTTGTGTCATATGATTATTTATTTTATTGGTCATATAATCCATAAAATTACATATACGAGGAATAATTATGTTTTCCATGTATTCTACAACATATTTATTAATCCGTAGTATCCAACTAGAGTGACGTCATAAAATTCGTGGCTGTTCTATTAGAGACGGCATTGCATCATCATGGCCGCAAGTTGCTAACTTAATAAAATTAGCACTAGGAAAGCCCGCGGGAACTATCAAATTCAAAGTTAATCGTTTCACAGACTATAACAATTTCTCTTGATGGAAGATTATGAAAGACCAAAATGACATTTCTCGCAAATTTTGAAGTATAATTAGTGGAAAAGTAAAAAGTTTGATAACTTTTCCTACTAATTGAAAATGTCTACCACTAATTTTGACGTTCTGAATGATTACATTCAAATTAAAGGAATAAACTTCTACGCTAATTGAAACTACTAATTTATTCCACTAATTGCGAAGTTCTGAATGAAGCTTACAAATAATTAATTATAGAAGCCCCACAGACAAGAAGAAATTTTTTAGATCTATCGGAAACATAAGCGATTAAAAATTCATGTTTTTACTGCAAACGCGTCGTTTTCCTGTCATTATTTGATGACGTCGCGTCGCGTCGGTGGGTTCTAAAATCAAAGTTGACATAGACATTTCATTAATAATAATGACATATAACAGATGCCATTAGTATCCAGTGACGTCATAATGGTTCCCGCGCTTTTGTTTCTGTTTGAATTAGTTTGGCGAGGATTACAATATTTGGTATATTGCTCGGTGTATTGTTTTTTTTATAAAAAAACACATAAATTAAGAAGCTTATTATCTGAAAGCAAAATAACACTGAACTCTCGACTGAACTGCTACGGACTAGGACTGATTTAAAATTGGAAGATAAAATGAATTTTAAGGCAGCTCAAAAAATATGTTCCATTGAAGTCCTTGAATTATTTAATACTGTTGCTGATGGTGTAGGAACCAAGGAATAAATAAAATAACAATAAATTTAAGAATGATGAATTTAGTTATATGTTCCTATTTGGAAGAAAATTTGGATTTAAAAAGAAGGTTATATAATTTATGGTATTGTGTGTTTTTTTACTTATTTGGTGTAAATGGCTAATGATGAATAATAAGAAAATTAGAGAACATTTTATTTCAAGTAACTGTTACACATGCATCGAGTTGAACGCTCATGCTCTGATTAATTTAATTATACATTTTCGAGAAAATCCAAACCTCACGGAGGATATGTTGCTTCCTTTGCTGTTTAGCAGTCAAAGCTGTGAGAAAATATTCCGAGCCCCAAGGTCCATGACAACAACGCAATCTACGGTAGTAAATTATAGTATTAAAGACATACTGCAACGATTGGATAGAATTAGATCGATTAATAATATTACTGATTTAAGAGCTATAATGTGTTTCCCAAGAGAGCAGAAAAAATTTGAGAGAGTTCGTTCTAAGGGCCAAAACGATGCACAAATTGAAGCGCAGAGTGCAAATAATGAGGTGAAAGATATTGAAAATGTCTTTCAAAACTGATCAATACATTGAGAATATTGTGATGGACTCTTTGCAGGAAGCACTTGCTGTAACTGAAAAGCTGAGAATGCAAGTTGAAAATTTTTCATGGAACTCGACCACTATACCAAAAAATTCAAAAGAACAATCTGCAGTAAGTGATGAAAATGAATCTGTCATTGATGATTCGCAAATAGCCGAAGAATGTATTTTTCAAAATCAAGAGGAAGAGATAGATGATTTAAAAATAGGAATCGACCAAACTAATGACCAAAGCAAAAACACAATAGGCCTTACAGGTCGCAGTGTTTCCGGCAGAGGACGGCCCCTTGTTGTAAAAAAAAAACTAATGAGCAAACCAAACCAAACCAAACTCTTTTTTATCGAGTCGA